AGTCAATCAGTCATTAGAACTCTTGATCCCAACATTGGGTGGTCCTTCGAGAAAAATTCAGCATATATTCCAAGTGCTGGTGACAGTCAAAGTGCGTTAACATTTGGTCCTTCGAGCCGGATCAACATTTATGAGTGCTTAACATTTGGTCCTTCGAGCCGGAGACGTTCATGAGTGCTTTACACCATAGCTAGTACCGTCATTTTATCGTACTTTTCGTTGAGTTGCACCGATGCAGCCGGCATCGCGTTATGCATCGTCAGCAATGGCTCGTATTTTACATGAGCGCTTGGTAAATTTTGTGCAAATCGCCGATCCTTCTTTATCAGTAGTTCTATCACTATCACCTCGAAATACCACTTTTCCTGAATTAATTCGCAAAAGAGATAAAATCTATATTAAATTCTATCATCAAAATTATTAGTGATGGAGTCTGATGAAATAATTATAAAAATATCTGTAGTGCATTTAATGAAGAAAATTATTAATGCCATATTAGTAACAATTAAAATAAATATCTTTCTTTTCTCAAATTACAAAACAACTATTCAAAACCAATTTTTTCAAAAGCCATTTAAGAACAATGAGAACGAAGCACGAATTTATTATATACAATTAGTATGCATTTTATATAAATAAAAATAAGATAAAATGTACATTAAAATAATTTAAATAATTTAAATTGCTCAACTGAACTTATGAAATATATGAAATAAAAGTAGCATTATTTAATTTTTTATTTTATTTTATTAAACGCGTAATCAATTTCGTTTTAAATGCATTGAAAAAGTACTTAACAGTTAATCAATTTTAATACGAACTAATGAATTGATGGATTACGTAAATTGTTTCAACAAAAAAAAAGATGTCAGTCATTGTCTCGTGAAAATCGGCCAGTCGACGTAGAAATGGCCAGGGAATGAGAGTTCGATCGATACATTATTCCGTGGGATTGTGCATCAGGAACGATTCGTAGCTAAGGACTCATTGGGTGGTGTGTCACCGCGTCACATCCACCCTCCCCACACCCCCGGCCACGTTGTCGACACATCGATGCAATTAGAGGAGGACTCTCGGTCCAGTTACCCGCCAGCGATGAAATGTTTCGGTCAAATTCTCAAGAGAAATGCGAGTTAAAAGCCCGACGATTCGTCGTTGATGTGCAAATTTGGAGCGACGACTCGCGATACAGTTTTGAAAACTATTTCCACCAAAATCGAAGCGCAGCTTTCTCTTCGCGTTTAAAAATCGGACAACCGAGTGAACATTCGAGTCAACACTTTATTTTTTACGTTTTATATTTTATAGAATTTTGAAATAAATTATTTATTCTACTTTATAGAAGTTTGAAATGAATTATTCTTTATATTTTGTACCAGGGTTCTATTTCCCAGAGATATCTATTTCGAGATATAGCGTGTAAAAAGAGAATGTTATATGAAAAAATAAACTTAGTTGGATATTTTCAAATATTGATTCATTCCAAATTGCCAGTTGGTAAAACAACGTTCTCTGCCAATTTGATTGATCAAATTGTTTTAAAAACCGTAGTACATTCTATAAAGCTGTATGTAGAACATCCTAAATAATAATAATATTTTTTTCTATGAAATATACGTTTCATGAGTTTTCGACATGATTTTAGAAGGTTAAGGGTAAATGTTCACTTGAGCATTATATTTCCTGCAGTTGTGCCCGAGAGTAGAATTTTCTGGTTGACAGACCTAAAAGCAACTCTGCAACGGCAGCCGCTTCTACTTTCAAGAGTAAAAGCTTACAGGAATCTACTGTCAAAAGCACGTATGACGATATTTTACTTCTGCAATTCTATCTACATTCTTAAAATCTCCTCCATATAAGTTAATACAATTTAAATCACGTAATGTAAAACTGTTGTACACCTCAACAAGAAAAACTAGAAAATCTGTATAAACAATTGACTATCTACGAACATTCTGAAACATTTCATATAAAAATCAACTGACGGGTTTCTACATAACCTACGATTTTTTCTTATTGTAACCAGGAATTCACCCCCATTGACAATACACAAAATTTTCTTAAAAATAAAGCCCCATAGATACAAACTTTACCTTTCCTACTCAATTTCCCAATACATCAATCAATCATAATCTCAATTTCCCTGTTCACAATTTCCCCACACAAACCCTTATTCAATAACCTCAATTATTTTCTCCGAAACGACACATTTGGATGATCTATCATTCCCATACCTCACTATAAGATAAAAAGACCTCAATAAAAACAAAACACAATTTACTCCTCATTTACTCGGAACTCACGCGATCAAGCACCGACAAAAAAAGGCAAACAATTCTCAATTCCTGCGAAGGGAACCGCCCGCCCTAGTCTCTGGCGTTAATTCCGCCAGATTAATTTCGATATAGAGCTTGGGGAACGGAAATTCCATAAAGAATTCGCGCGAGAAGGAACGATAGTCTCTTCCCCCGTTGCTCTTGGCAGTGGTCGGTAGCGAAATAGCGCATAAATCGCTAACGACGCACACTTTGTTACAAAAGCGCGGCATCCAGCAGCCCTCCCGCAAACCTTGCAGCTCCTGACCCCACCCCGACACCCGGGCCGGGAGTTTGGCGTGCCGGGCGACTTGATTTATCGTTCCAACGTGGACAATGCGAGAAATATTCTGGCGTGCTCGCTTCGTAAATCACGATTCTTCGGCAGTCCATACAGCGCGGAGGAGCGATTCCTCGCTGGCGGAATATCACGCGAGCTACATTCTGGCAAATGTACACGCTCCGAGGGATAGATAGACGACGAAGGGAACGGCGAAGGACGGTGAACGCCGAAGGGACGGCCGGGGAGACACGACCGAATTGAGATACGTCGCGGGATACATAAATCATCGGAATCGCGCTCGCGAATTTTGTGTTCTCAGCGTTCGCCTGAGAGACGGTGATCGAATTAATATTTCTTCCGCGGGAATGAGGACACTCTATTTTCGCGTGACGATGTTACAAGCATTTTTGAGGGGGCAATTAACACGTTGAATGCCGTGGGGGTCACCGGTGACCCCTAACCAAATCGAATTACTATACTTCGTTCTATTGAACGATGAATATTTGGAAACATTTATATATCATAAATAATATAAAGCCGCCAGTAATTGGTCTGGTATCAGTAGTTGTCCATTTTTCAGGAAAACATGAGAAATAAGGTTTTTAAAAGTAATAATCTTTCGGTAAAGCCGCGACAGATATGCTGTAGCATCTACCGAGTCGACTGTAGTGTTTTTGGTTTGGCTATAAGTGGTTAATTACTAACTAATCATAGTCAATTACTGGTTTTCTCGTTTTCAAGGATGGTTAACTTCTGACGCAAGTGTTGAATTGTCAAAAATATCTATAAAATTTGGGTAATTCAACTATTTCAAAGAAATTCACTTTGTTATATAATGTAAAAAGTTCAAATAACATTTTCACGCATAGAGTCTCCCTATTTAATAAAGAAGCAAGCGTTTACTATTGTTCACACAGGAAATTCTTCTTAATTGGTGCCTTTACCTTAATGCTACCTAATGCGATGACATTCAGTTAGATGAACGCGTAATAATAATAATGCAATTCAATCAAATGGTTTAACACTAGATTTACGGATGTTTATTCTACGCTTTGTACCTTTTTACCTAGAAAACTACGCGTTCGTTTAAATAGATTGTCTCGAAACCAGAATATTACAATATACTATATTCGCATAATTACACGAATCAAAATCGACTTAGATTGTTACTAAAGAATGTTTAAAAAATTCAGTACCCGTCAAATTGGCAAAACCCGGGTTTTATATTTTTTACATTTTTTGTATTTTGCTGTATAAAATCGTGCGACATTCAACGTGTCGAATACGAACGTCGCAAAAAGTAACCGATTTTGATGAATCTTTTTGAAATAACGATTTAACTGATAATTTTGTCGTAACTTATTTAATTACTTAATTGCTGATACATAATAATTTTTTATATAGTGTTAATTTATTTTCGGTATTGCCCTGTTCAGAATAAACACATGTCCTAAAAATCGGTGCGAATGATTGGAGCACTCAGGGTAGACGGAAACGAAAAAATGGGAAATATATTTAATCAGTATGCTTATTGCTGTCGCTCGAACTAAAAGAAATAATTTATATTAAAGATTATCAGATTGGCGGCTGTTTAAATTGCAAAGTCCAGAATTTCTTTTCTTTTTCAATAATTTTTTAATAAAAAGACAATGATGAACTCGACACAATAGAATATTATGAACTGTGACTGTTATATACACAGAGGAGAATCCTATATATGCAATGTATTTGGAAGGCGTGCAAATATTAAAATACAAAATAGGTAAAAAATGTGTTATATCTGCCTCTAATCGTTGAGTAAATAAATTTGTTTTTGGCTCCAACGGAATCGAAATTAGCTTAAACCGCGAAACGATTTATTTGCATGTGTACAATAGCATTTTGGAACGAGTAACCACTGTCACGTGGATTTCACGTAAGCAGATGTCACACGTCTAGCTGTTGAACATATCTACGCTAAAGTGAACATAACCTGACAGTTAATATAACTCGGTCCGTTCCTTATGATTATAGTTAGGAAAATGCATGAGACAAAGACAAGAATAGTGGGGGCGGGGTAGCGAACGAAACGGGGACAGAGATCGCAGAATCGAGATACGTTCTGGAGTACATAAATCATCGAAATTATATTCATACCCTATACTTCTTTGAATTTCCACATGACGGTACGGTTATATCAGTGTCGTTATTCAGTGCCATACGACAAGATGAAAGTGTGCTCTGATTTCTGATTTCCTTTAAACGTACTGTAAAATATCTCTATTTTAAAATTACGTTGTGAATTGACTTTGAAAGATTTAAGAATTATAGACACTTTTGTATTAATTATATTTTCAAAAATTTTCAGACGTAACTGAAGGCGTTGGGTGTAATTATGCATCACGAATATAATTAAAACTTACCAGTTGTTCTTTTCTGTATAATTTTCTCCTCGATGAGTGCTCTCACACTGACAGACGCAGTCTGTAATGGCGGCCCGACGACCTCCTTCTTCTCGCTTTTCTTGTTCTCAGCATCCTGAAATAATTGAAATTTAATTAATTAATAATGGCAATACGAGATATTTCTAGACGTTTATCGCTACGTTTAAAGCAACTTTAATGTCTCCAAGTTCGATCACAGTCCCTATAAACACAAAATGATAATATATTATAGTAATTACTGTCATGTGACCTGAAAATATTTTTTTTTAAGAATTAAGTGTCATATTTTTATTATAATCTTATTTAAATATAATTAAATATGTAGAACACGAAAAGAGAATTTCTAGAATTTCATTTTCTATCTATGAACTTCTTTTAGCACAAATTTATAGCTGCAAAGTTGTCGATTAAATTAAAAAGAAGCTATAAATTAATTTACGTGATTGTAATTGAAAAATTGTCTGGTTAATAAATTGATAGACTTAACCAAATCGAAAGTGTCCAGAAGTAGAGCCTTCCCCAGATATATAGCAGAAACAACAGAACTTTGAAAATCTCATTAAAACTGGAGATTTGGTTGAACATTGGGAACGAAGTTACGTTATGTAATAGAGAGTTCTTCTTGACCTCGTCCAGAATTTGCAAATCGTCTAGGATCGAATTGTACTGCGTCTCGTTACTCGAAGATTAATTACAAAGGTAGTTCATGCTTAAGTGCGCCAAGATAAGTGGAATAGATAAAAAATTTCGGACATTATAAGAGAGAAAGAAGGAAGATAAAGAGAACGACTGAGGTAGAGACCAAATGACACGATCAAAGACAGTGGTAAATTACGTAAATGCTGATTTTAAGTTCAAGTAATAATAGATTGACAATTTTCTAGAACTTTTTTAATATAATAACATACATTACTAATTAATGGACCTAACAATTACTGAACTCTTCCTTCCTCTTAATCTTTAACCATTTATCTACATGAATTTTAGCTAACAGTTCTATAATTTGATACACAAAAACAGAATCTCGATAAAATCTACACAATAACACAATGTGAATTCAAAAATTTAACTTCCCGGATCCATAAATTTAGACAAGGTAATATGATTTAACATTTCCTAATTGTTGGTGTTTGCTTACTACTATTAAACAATTATATCTTAATCTAGATTAGATGTACGTCAGTAACAAATTGAAGTTTCAAAAAGAAGACCAACAGAAGATCTAAGTACCAACCATTCGAAACTCAAGACTGTTTCATTCGCATTCTTTTTCGAAACACTATCTATACTACAACGTATCAGGAAGTCCGGCGATGCCTAGGCTCGTTCAT